GTAAGCTATAGTACTTTTTCCTTTGGGAAGGTACCATCTGTGCAGTCTGCAGTTCTGTTGAAGACAGATGTTGAATCTATTTAAATATTGTAGAAAAATAATTGATTTCTGTGCATTTTTTTTCACACTGCATTAAATTAAAGTTGATTATGTCGATTAAGCATCATGAGGTGGAGGGTGGTTCCCTATTTTTTTTTTGCTGGGAGTTGACAACCCTGTTAGTTAGTTAGTTTAATTTAAGTACTCTTTAAAATACCAGAACAGGGAGGATGGAGCAGGTTTAAGTTTATTAGATTGATCAGTTTTGCTGAACTATGAGATATTTTGCGTGCAGTGTATTTTTTGCATACAGGTTTAACAGAATAGCTTTAGTGTTCTTTTAATTTGACTATGAACTTATACAAAATGCAGCAAGATATTTAAAAAACAGTTTTATTGATTAAAACTATCCAAATTTATGATATCGGTATCGGACATAAAAAAGTGGTATCGTGCCATCTCTAGTATGACGGGCCATGGGGGAGGTCTTTATCAGTAGGAAAAGCTGTAAAACCTTTGAAAATACAGGGAAAATGTGAAAATTTGTTCCCTTCTTCACATTTTCCAAAGCCGTCCGGTGCAACAGATTGGAATTTTTGGCAGGCCGATTCTGGCCCCCAAGCCTTATGTTTGACACCCCTGTTATAATAGAGGGACTGTAGTTTGTTATGTGAAACACACTAAAAGTTCCATACATCATATAAGAGAAACCGAATGAAAAAAAACTCTTATGTTTGCACCGTTTTTGTTGGATTTATCAGTATTTACACAGCAACAACGTTCAGCTTTGTAAAGACGCTTCACAAAAATTCTGTCAGAAGGATTTCTGACTTACCTTTAGCTTGTGCTCCTTCCTGTTGACAATCACAGCAGTAATTTGTTGGTCCATAAAGATCAGGATGGTGACCAGAAGGGCAGGAAGAGCAGACGCCAGATAAACCCACCAGGGGTTTCCTCCAAATGGGGCCACAAACCAGCCTCGGTCTGGACTTGTTGGCTATAAGCAGAGAAGACAGACACGTCAGCATGTGCTGAAAATACACGAGTCAGTCCATGAGATTTAAATTGTACATATCCTTGCAGAGGCAAAGCTTCGGGTTTAGTACCATGTTTAAGGAGCTACACCACTACTGCTACTTCCTGTCCATCAAACATGTTCATTTAAACACCAGAAAACATGTTTTTGTTAACCTGTCTCTGAAACTGTGTTAAGGTTCATTTTGTGCATAATTAGAGTGGTTGCTTTTAGTGAAAGATGAACCCGGTACAAAGTGCTACACCACTGTCTGTAGCCGCTTATACTGGCCATCTTTTACTACAGTCTATGATGATGACTTGCAGGTTTCATAAAGCCATACAAATCTAATATGGACTTTAATTTCTCTGCGTGGAGGAGGGAACTCACTTTGAATTCACTTGGCACAAGAAGTTTAGGCGTATCAACTCCTACGAGCATATCAACTCCACAGAAGATAAGAATGGCCAAGATGATGGCAAAGTCACTGATGAGTTTTCGCACCTGAATGAAAAGAAAACACAAAGAGACTCTGGAACCTGCTGATCCACAAACAGGTGGAAATTTCATTTAGTCCCTTCACACGTGGCTCGTTCAGTTAAATTAGCTCGG